TGAGGTCTAGGCCCGAAACGTCAGCCTTCCTGCTCCTCTGATGCTGCTTGGCCTGCTGTGCTCAACAAGCTCTACACCTTGTTATCTCAGATTCTCCAGCATCTGCAGTTCCTACTATTTCTATGAGGTCCACCTGGCTGACCTTGTTACAATCACTATGGTGGTGTTCCCAGGTATCTGCTTCCTTCTAGATAGAAGTGGTCATGGGCTTGGAAGGATCTTTGGTGAATTTCTACAAATACATCTTGTAGGTAGTACACCTTAGTGCTGAGTGTCGCTGGTGGAGGGAGTGGATGCGTGTGGATATGGTACCAATCAAGCGGCTGCTTTGTTCTGGATAATTGCCGCAGAATGGCTCCCAGTTGTGAGCACACGTTTCAGTATGGATATAGAGGTTTTGTAGTGGCTACAGAAAGGATTTATTAGAATGGCTGAGGGGTTGAAGGATTACAGCTAGGTGAATAGCTTGTTATTTTTCTTGGAGCAGAGAATCAGAGAACACAGGGTCAAGGTGATTGGCAAAAGAATGAGAGGCAACTTGTAGTAACAGCATTTGTATGCAATGAGTGCTCACAGTTTGAAATTATTGCTGATAGTTTGGTGAGACTCAGTTATAACCTTCAAAAGGGAATGGGATAAACACTTGAAGGAGGGAACATTTTGGGAGGGTGTACTGATCTGGACTGCTTTTTGAAAGAAGTGGGCTCCTTTCACTGAGTTACTCTATGATTCTGTGGAAATAGGTTATTGATGCTTTGAATGGAATCATAAATGATACCCTTTGATTTCTTCCTCTGTATTCACGAGGTCCCTTTAATTAATCAATACAAAGTCAGAATCTCTGGAATTTTCAGATTGGCCTAGTCAAAAGTGAGTACCATCAGGAACTGTCACTCAGGTTCACTCTGGTGAATGGGTTACAGATACTTTCAGGGCAAAAAAAATCCTGAGAAACAGTTCAAACTGCTTCCAACATTGTGCCACATCATCTAATGGCCAATAGCCTGTACTGTTTTGGGGGTCACTGCTCAGGTATGTTGGGCCCTCTGTGGTATTTTATGAACATACAAGGCACTGTGATTGCACAGAAAGTTTAAACTTCCAAACGGTTGTTGTGCACTGCCCTGGGACTCTCCAAGTGTCTCCTCTCAGTGTTGGGATACTGATGCCAGATACTTATTACCCAAATATTCACCTCGCATTGTTACACTGTTTTAATCTCTTGTACAACCCAGTGATTTGCAGAATAATTCAATCCACCACCCTGACCCCAAACCCCACCCCCCCCACTGTGAAAATACTGTCCCTTGTCATGCAGCCCAACTTTTTGCATTCCTGGCCATTCTGAATGCCCATCCAAAGTGACCTGACCGTCTAACCCAAACCCCCACCCCAATCCAACTGCCCATACTCACAGCACTCCTGACTGAATTGCCTGCACTCTTGGCCTCTCCCTTGACCCACACTTGACCCATATCCAATGCCCACCCACCAACCTGAAAACCCACCTGTATCAACACTCACCCACTGACAAACCTTGCGCACTCACTGATCCAGTGAGATCTTTAAAGAAAACATAACCACAGACAGCTATGGGTGTTGTGAAAATATATTGAGATATTGGGCGTAGGAGGTCAAGAGGTGACCTTATAGAGATTTTAAAATAATGATTGGTATGGATAAGGTGAATGGCAGGTGTCTTAGGGTGGGGGAGTTCAAAACTAGGGGCATACTTTTAAGGTGAGAGGAGAAAGATTTAATAAAGATATGAGAGGCAATTTCTTTACAAAGAGTGATTTGTGTGTGGAATGAACTTCCTGAGGAAGTGGTGAATGGGGGTGTAGTTACAAGCTTTAAAAGACATTTGGATAAGTTCACGAACAGAAATATTTGGAGGGATGTGGGCCGAATGCAGGCAGATAGGACTGATTCAGTTTGGGAACATGGTCGGCATTGAGCTGGTCGGATCGAAGGGTCTGTTTCTGTGCTGAATGATTCTGTGACTCTAAGAAGAAGGATCACATCCCCAGGAATAAAAGAAAAAAATTCATTCGTGGGTATTGCAGGCTAGGCCAACAATTATTACCTGGAGGGCATTTGTTACTGTTGTTGGTCTGGAGTTACATGTAGGTCAGACCGGATAAGGATGACAGATCTCCTGACTCAAAGGACATTAGGTTTTAATGACAATCAACCGGTTACCATTGGCCCTGTTATTTATTTTGGAATTTTTTTTTAAAGTCAGACTTGAATTTCACTGTCGGCCATATGTGGGATTTGAGCCCACATCTCCAGAACATTGACTGAGGTTCGAGATATTGCCACAATGTCGCCACTTCCTCCATGGTTGGCTATGCTGAGGCAACGCAGATGCAGCCGGGTCAGAAATTCCAGCTAGAAGAACACACAGTGGAATGAACATTAAGATCCTGCCGTCAGTGGCAATCACAGCATGAAAGAATGGAAAGCTAGGCACGACTACATTATATAGTTTGTCAGTAGGCAAACCTCAAGAATATCGATTTCTAACCAAGGACTTACACTCCAGTAATTGTTAGTATTTCTCTTTTTAAATACTTTTGACATTTAAGGTTTATAAATGGACTGTGGGCACAAATTAACCCAATAAGGAATTCAGGAGGAGCCACTTACTCAGAATGGTGAAAACATGCAACATGCCACCAAATGGAGTGGTTGAGATGAACAGCACAGATACCTCTAAAGGAAGCTGAATAAGCAGCTGACGAACAGTAGACTTGGTGATGGTGGGATGGTTTGATGGATTGTACTCTCGGAGATTCAGTGTCCTGTTGGACTTGACAGCCTGTCTGTTCTGTAAAATCATAGAAATAGAATACTAGCTGAGGCCCTAGTCTTCATTTTAACATTCCCAGTGGAGATAAACCAATCAATGTCATATAGAACCTTTCTCAGCCTGTATAGTGAGGCACAGCAATATGTGCCAACCTCTACTGAGTCCCTGGGTCCTTGGCCAGTCTGGCATCCATGACTGAACTTGCATAACATAATTTTTAGTCAAAGTAATTGGCATGTTGAACCTTTTGCCAGAGTGAGCATGTTGCTATGCCTTCTGTTGACTGCCCTAATCCTGAATTCTAGACAACGACTGCTGAAGACTGTTCAGTGCGGATGGTACCTTTTGCCATGTGGGCTGTGAGGACATAAAGACATCTCACTGGACCTGGCCCATCGGCTGGTGTGAGAACGGTTCTGAATATGGGAGGAACTCTCGAGCAGATTATTAATCAACTTGTGAATCCTCTCAGTACCTCAAACTAGTCTTTGATATTGGGGGGATGAGCAGAAATACGAATAACATCAATCGAATGAGGGTCAGTACATTGGCCAGGTGATACTGAACTTGTCTCTTTATATGTAGCAGATGTGAGTTACTCTGCTGGTCCAACTGGTTCATTTGCTTGCAATGGTGAATAGGCAGGTGGAAGTCCCACACTATTGGAATAATGTTGAGGCAGAGGAATCCAAACTGTCTTTCTCTTGTGAAGCGCTGCACATTTTTGCACTTGGAGAGTAAACTTCCCAGTTGTGTTTCATTTTCTCTCTCTCTAGGGCAAAGTCAAAAAATGGAGGCAGGTCGTTACGTGAGAGATTGGACAAAATCGGGTTAAACCTTCCGGCTGGGAGGCGAAAAGCTGCCAATGTGACATTGCTGACGTCCCTCGTTGAAGGTATGTCCATTTTATCCCAATCACACTGAGGTGACCAAAAGTCACCCTCTGTGCTGTGCAGTGAACACATTCACTTGTGATTTCTTCAGACCTCCTTGCTATCAGATCTCCTCAAATTGGTGGAAGCTATGTTTACACCATTTAGTCAGGCTTTGTATTGTAGTTTCAGTAAACAGAGCGAGAACACTCCCAGGAATTTGTCACAGTGGGGCCAGTAACTGCCTTACATATGGTGTGTTGAGGGAAACTATCCCCTATCCCTTAAAAAAATGGTCTGAACAGATATTTTAAGAGATTCACCGGCCACTCTAGGACATTAGACAATTAAAGTTTCCTATTCTCATTTCAGAACAGACAGAAGGATATTGAGCCTGTAACATTTACTGGCTGCAGACATTCCCAACCCATGAAATCCCTACTGTAGATCCAAGTATATTCAAAAACAAGTCAAAGATTCAATCCAACGCTGTGAGTCCTGATCCCAAAAATAAATAATTCTGTGCTCATCGGTTCGAATGTAACGTGATTTAGTTTGAAGACAATAGAGCATGAGAAAAACCCAAGAAACCTGCACTTTGTGCATAATGCTGCTTGCTATGAACTGTACCCCACTTAGACATGTCCTTGTCCCACACGTGTCCTCTGCCAGTTAGTTTTGCATCTTATCTTCACATTTGAGGAAATCAAAGCAGAATTTTGAGCTGTCCACACTGTCCAGAGTGGGGTTTGACTCTGAAAGTGGGGTTGCTTCCAAATGCTCCGTCCTGCCCCGAGGCGAATGTGAGTTGGGTATAGATGCTCCCCTCTGTCACCACACTACTCTCCATTATCCAGATTGCGCCAGCTTTGAGTTACTAATTCCATGTGATGCCTTTACCTTTTAGGTGAAGCTGTACACCTGGCCCGTGACTTTGGTTATGTGTGTGAGACGGAATTCCCTGCTAAAGCAGCTGCGGAATATCTGACCCGGCAGCATATAGACCGCAGTGAGATCAGCAGTCGGAAGAACATGCTGCTCGCAGCCAAGTAAGTTTCCCTCGCCTCTGAGATGGCCACTGACAGTAAGCGGGGGTTTTGTTAAAAGCCGGGAAGGCTGGAAGATGTGGTTGTTTGGAATTGGGAGAGAAGTTAAACAACAGAAATGATCAATGGCCAGCCTTATAAACAGACATGGAATGCAAAAGAGATAACAAGAACTGCTGATGCTGGAGTCAGAGATAACACAATGTGGAGCTACAGGAACACAGCAGGCCAGGCAGCATCAGAGGAGCAGGAAAGCTGACGTTTCTTCAGAAAAAGGGTCCCGACCCGAAACGTTCCTCCAGCTCCGCACTGCGTTATCTATGGAATGCAAAAGCCAGGAGATTGTACTGAACTTCTATAAAACTCTACTTACAAATAATTTTGAAGCAGTGAATAAGAAGGGAAGTGCTACCACAAGCAGGATAGCAGGCAAAGGAAGGGCACAGAATTGCAAAATAAACAACAGACAGATGACTGTTTTTATTTACAAGGGTGAGTTGTCATGATTTGGAGCCACACTGCTTGGAAAGATGGTCGAAACTGATTTAACGGTCAGCTTTAAAATTGGATTTGATGCGTACATGTAAGGGGAAAGATTGTAAAACCATGTTGTGAAAGTGAGGGAGTGGAGCCATTTGGAAAGTCTTTTCATACCACAGGCACCTTGGGCTGAAGGGCCGGCTGTACTGTAGGATTCTATGAAATGCAACTGGAGACTAGAGTCATGTCTGATCGAACATAGGGACTGCTGGATGTGGAGAGATGCAGGAATCACCCTGATAGCCACATGATACAATGTGAATAAATGCACTTGCTGACCTATTAAATTCTTCCAGTTCATCAGCAGGAGGGGTGGAATATTTCACAACTTTTGGGGAATCTTGTGTCCAGATACAGTTTGGTCACGTGTTGTGCCCTGACATGTTCACCATCCACAGTGGAACATGAATACAGTCTGCTATTCCCTTCGACAGGCCACTCCCCTTTCCTGCTGGAAACCAGTTCTCCAATGTGCACTCCAATTCACCCCTGTTGCTCGGAATCATAGCCAGGGTGTCGCACATAGTCACACCTGATTACCCACTATTCACAACATTAGCACAGGTCACCACCATTTCTCCCAAGTGATAAAATGTGAAAAAAAATCATTAGCACAAGCCTGGTACTGGTGGTGTGTAAGGACTGGTGACCCATCATGCTAGAATTCTTATCGCTGAAGAGACCATAGAACCCCTACAGTGTGGAAGCAGGCCATTCAACTCATCGAATCCACACTGACCCTCCAAGGAGCATCCCACCCAGACCCACCCTATCCCTGTAACCCTGCATTTCCCATGGCTAATCCACCTAGCCTGCACATCCCTGAACACTACGGGCAATTTAGCATGGCCAATCCACCTAACCTGCACATCTTTGGACTGTGGGAGGAAACCAGAGCACCCGGAGGAAACCCACACAGACACAGGGAGGATGTGCAAACTCCACAGAGACCGTTGCCCGAGGGTGGAACCAAACCTGGGTCCCTGGCATTGTTAGGCAGCAGTGCTAACCAGTGAGGCCTGGTGGTCATCCAGCTGGGGCCCTCTTTTAAACACTGCCTCCCAGCATGGCCTCAGTCAGAAGATCATGGGCTCAGCCCCCTAATCCAGACACTTGAGAACATGGGGCTGGATTTAACAGGGAGTCTCTAGACTAACCCCCAGGAGGAAAAGCCAGATGCTGGCCTGCTGTCACTCCTGCTGGTACCCCATGCCTTGGCCTAAGCAGGCCTCTCATTCTTCAGGGTACAAGGTGCTCAAGATCCCAGCAGCTCCTTGGGAGCGGTGCACACTGTCGAGGCTGCGTAGGCGTGGCAGGGAATAGGGTGATTGCACACCCAAAGGGGTAAAGCCTTTCGGGTAAGATGCTGAGGCATGTGACCTAAAGGAAAGCAGGGAGTTCTCCCCACGCCTGAACAGAGTTTATCCCCATCATGTAGATCACCTGGTCATTTATCTTACTGCTGTTGTGGGGGGTTGTATTAAATTTGTTGAGGGAGTCTCCAATGTAACAATAGTGTCTGTTCTTCGACAAAGGACCACATTAACTGGAATGTGCCCAGTTTAGCATTTAGTCAGACTGAGTTAGGTCATTATCCCCCAGCAGTGTAACTCTTTTTAATATGCTTTGTGTGAAACCTCACTTTCTAGCTGAGCCTGCTCCCTGTGAATGGATCAAAGGAAACATTAGAGAACCAGTTAATGAGATAGACAGCTCCTTCTTGAGGTACATCCCTTTCACTGATGTATCAAGTACATTCCAAACTGGACCAGTGAAACTGTGGAAGGACGTGTCTATAAAGTGGTCATGAGCTCCATCCTGATCAGTATTTTTGATTGAGTTTTATCTCAAGTGGCCTGAAATAGTTGTTTTACTTTGATTCAGCTGCCTGCGTAAGTTCTGTTGATGGACGATGTGTGTGTACAGGCCTGATTACAGCAGCAGGATCTGATTGTATACATCCTTGATCTTGGCTGTGACCTTTCATGTTGCCGGGAGTTTGTCTGTGTTACCAGTGGCTGCATGTACCCACTTGTGTGTCCGTAACTTGCAGTGTGGACGTGTGTGGGCATTCTTGCTTGTTGGCATACCCCTCACATTTGTATGTGCCCTGTGTACCCGCTAGTGTATGTCTGCTGACAGCTGCACTGCTAAGTACAAGATCTAGTCAGTCAGACTATGACTCAGTCCACGAGGGAGGGGGAACATGACAGTGTGCGGTCATACGTGATTGTGAAGGGTGCACCAAATTGCTTCCATCCCATTTTAGTTTCCGTTGATTTTGGTGGACAGCGCTGCTGATTCACTGCAAAATGATCCCCAAATGGAGAAAAGGCAGTCCACACAATCCAAATGATGCTCACTTTCTGATCTATCAAACAGTTCCAGTAACAATAACTAGTAGGTTGAGGAGTGGCAGATGGAATTTAATTCCGATAAATGCGAGGTGTTGCATTTTGGTAAGATAAACCAGGGCAAGACTTACACATGGTAATGGTAGGGCCCTGGGGAGTGTTGTTGAACAGAGAGTCTTAGAGGTGCAGGTACATATTTCCTTGAAAGTGGGTCCGAGGCAGACTGGTTGGTGTTTGAAGGTGTTTGACACACTTGCCTTCATTGGTCAGAACATTGAGTAACAGCAGTACAAGATATTGGTGAGGCCACATTTGGAGCTCTGTGCACAATTCTGGTCACCCTGCTATCGGAAGGATGCTATTGAACTGGAAAGGTTGCAAAACTGATTTACAAGAATGTTACCGAGACCGGATGGTTTGAGTTATCGGGGGAGGCTGGATAGGCTGGGACTATTTTCCTTGGATTGTAGGAGGCTGTGGGGCGACCTAGAGTTTTATACGATCATCAGGGTCATGAATAGGTTGAAAAGCCAAGGTTTTTTTCCCCAGGGCAGGGGAATCCAAAACGAGAGGGCATAGTTTTAAGGTGAGAGGGGAAAGATTTAAAAGGGACCGGAGGGGCAACTTTTTCCACATAGAGGGTGGCACATATATGGAACAAGCTGCCAGAGGAAATGTAGAGGTGGGTACAATTACAACATTTAAAAGGCATCTGGATGTGTATGTGAATAGGAAGGGTTTAGAGGGATATGGGCCAAATGCTGACACATGGGACTAGATCAGTTTAGGATATCTGGTTGGCATGGAAGAGTTGACCAAATGGCCTGTTTCTGTGCTGTATGACTCAATGACAGTTATCCCAAAAAGTGGAGTCTTTAGCCTGTCCCTGAACAGATAGCCAGAACCTCTGAAATAAAATAAAGAGCTGTTGGATGCTGGAAATTTGAAACAAACAAGAACAAGGATCACTGGACTTGAAACATTAACTGTTTTCTCTCCATAAATGCTACCAGACTGGCTGAGTTTCTCCAGAAATTTCTGCTTTGGTTTGTTTTAGGCAGAACCTCTGCTGGCCTTCTCATGTATATCGATCGCCCTCCCACCCCACCATCACAGTGCTGGCACTGAGAGCTCTGATGCTCAAACCTGGCAATGAGCTCTGAACTTATGGCCTTCTGACAGTGCCCCCAATTGAGCTAAGCTGGCTAGGCAACATTTATTGCCCATCCCTAATTGCCCAGAGGGCAGTTAAGAGTCAGCCACATTGCTGTGGGTCTGGAGTCACATGTAGGCCAGACCAAGTAAGGATGGCAGTTTCCTTCCTTAAAGGACATGAGTGAACCAGATTGGTTTTTCCCCAACAAATTGGCAAAGGATTCATGGTCATCATTAGATTCTTAATTCCAGATATTTATTGAATTCAAATTCCACCATCTGCTGTGGTGGGATTCCAATCCGGGTCCCCTGAACACTATCTGAGTCTCTGGATTAACAGTCCAGTGATAATACCACTAGGCCATTTTGTTATCTTCACAATCTGACCAGCAACCTGTTGTCAAGCATCACTCATGTGTTTTAGACGTCGGATTGGTTCTGTAAAGAATGGTGATGGACTTTTCCAGCTTATCGGGCCAGTCTGTGAAGTTGGAAGTTTACTGCGCTATTGGTGTTTGGGTCAATGCTTGTGAAGAAGGGCTCGGCTAAAGGGTGACCACCCATCTTGCGTTCTCTTGGAATTTTGCTGTTGATTTCACTGGTCAAACCAGGACATCTAATGGGATATACTGTAACATCGGCTGACATCACTGTGGTTTGGGAATGATAGGCTGTGCAATGACTGCGTGGAATTTTCTGACTTTCCATCTCTAATCAGCCCTTTGTTTGTCATTTCAAACATCTGTTCAAAAATAAAAAGCAGAGATTTTCAATGGTTCCTTATGCCACTGAGTCTCTGTACAGAACCTGTGACAATTATACTGCTGTTTCTGTGAGTCTGCTGAAATCACAAACTGAGCAGAACAACTGTTGGAAGAAGGGAGCAAAGCTGATTATGCATATCTCCGCAGAGACATTGAGGCAGGAGAAAAGAAGGTTAGGCTGGGGTTTCTGTTTTCCGTACTTCAGTGTCAATCCTCCCACATTGTCTGTGATGGTATTCTCACAATCATGAGTTTCAGAAGGGGCCTGAGTTCGTTGTCATATTGCACTGGACTTTGAATAATGCACACTGTTAAACCACCAAAGTAACAAGCCTGATTCCAGCCTCTTAGTGTCAGGTTTCTGAAGCTTTTGCTCATTTAGAGAATAGTCTACACCTCTGTTCTTCCTGCCAAAGTGCTTAACCTCACACTTTCCCACCTTTTCCCTCCATCTGCGACTTCTTTTCCCACTCTCCTAGCCTGTCCAAGCCCTTCTGCAGCCTCCCCACTTCCTCAACACTGCCTGTGCCTCCACCTTGCTGTGTGTCATCTGCAAACTTAGCAACAATGTCCTTGGTTCCTGAGGCTGAGGTTACCATGAAGGACTCTCCTTCTCAAACACTCCCCTCAGTATCAGCAGCCTTGTGGTCTGGCAGGACTATGTTAATTCTGCTCGTCATCAGTAATCTCTTGCTAATGTGTGTGATTGTCCACCTAGGAAATTCTGTATCACTGGGCAGGGGACGTTACTACATTACTGCTGTCAGCTCACATTGTCTTAGAATTTTTTGGAGAGTCTCCTGGCTCTCTTTGGTTAATGGGTCTTCTCATGTCCTGAAGCCAAGCCCCCCCAGTGCTGCATTGGAGAACCTCAGGGTTCCTGCTCTCTGCCATACTGTACCATTTCCTCATATCCCCTGGGTCAGAGATTCTTGTGCAATGAATTCCTGTATCTGCACCAACCAAAAGGCAGCTCCCCTTCAAGAGGTGTGGGCTGGCTTAACCATTGCGGGTTACCTTGAACTTGCGTAAGCCTCTGATGAACTTTTGTTCTCTACTGAGGCACACAGTCGCCCAGGAACACAGGCTGCTCACTGTTGCTATAAATGTGTCATTGAGCAGACAGCATCCTGTTTGTGGGTTGTGTACTTTGGCATCAGTGTTCCAATTGGTTTATCCAATCCCCTCCATGATCTTGTTGAAGTATCTAAATATCGAAATTGGAATTCTTTTAAATGATGAGATTTGGGCTGTGAGGGCGGTTTAAACCTACTAACAGGAAACATGGGTTGACAATTGAATTTTCTTGGCAGACTGAGATCACTGATGGATTGGATTTATAGTGGAGATGAAAATCATGGGACTATTTAAGAAACAGTTGGAGGCTGCAATAGGGAAGGGTGTTGGGGAATGGTGGGGAGGATGCTGGGTGTTACTTTAGGGTGAATCACTTAACCAATAAGGTCAATACAAAATTCCTCCCCTGTAATTATCGTGAGAATTTGTTGAGGCAAACAGCAGAGATGTATTTATAATGGAGCTGGATAAATAGAAGCGGGTGAAAGGATGTGTACATAAAGTAGAAGGTGGTCTATGTGGAACATAAAGACTGGCATTGATTTGTTGGGAGGGACAATTATAGTGCAGCACATTTTATGTCATGTAATGATCATGGGAAACGTGTTCACGTGGGCCACCCTTGTGTGAGTCACCCCGCCTTTTCACGTTTCCATTCTCTTTTCAGGCAAATCTTCAAGGAGTTCACTGACATGTTGACCCAGGACCGGTCTCCCTTGGGTAACACGCGACCCGGTCCAATCCTGGAGCCTGGCATTCAGGGATGTCTGACCCACTTCAGCCTCATCACCCATGGCTTTGGCAGCCCTGCCATCTGTGCTGCCATGACCTCGCTACAGAATTACCTGAATGAAGCAGTGAAGGCTCTGGACAAAATGTACATGACCACCAGCGGAGGCCAGAGCCACCAGGACAGCAGCAACAAAGCCGTGGACAAAGATGAGAAACACAGGAAGTGAGCTGTTTGATGGCGGCTGGCAGACTTTATCCCTCCCCTTAACTTTACGCCTGGGTCCCCTTCGGAATTCGGTTAGCACCCAGAGCAAGATGGCACCCGACAGTCAGGTGATCGCCCGTACCTCCCTGTGCACCACAAAATGCAAGACTGCACTATTGCTCCGTGACCAACCGTTCTGCTTAAAATGCCAAATATCAAACCTGTGAAAGTGGAGACACTTTGTCGCTGGGTTTTCTGTGTGACCCTGGGCTGGTGGTCACATTTGCCAGTGGAACATCCTGACCTCTGTGGCAATATCAGAGGCAATTAAGAGTATTACTTCCCAGCAGCTCTCACACACTCAAAGGCCGCACAGCCACTGCTTAACCCCTCAGGGGGCTCCAACACTCCTTAACCATACAATGTTAGCACCAGGGGTTTGTGCCAACAGTGGGTGGGTTTTCTGTTTCCAATTTGCCATTTGAGGGGGGCTGGAACACTCCTCAAAGAAAATGAAACCACAAAGACCAATAGACTCATGTATCTAAAGACCCCCTGAGGTGAAGGGGGCACTTTCATCTTTCACCATGGCATGCTGGGATGGCTGACTTTCCAATAACAGACCCTTGCTGTCTCTCACAAGATAACAAGAGCAGAGAACTCCTCGACTCTCCAAATACCCCACTGCAGACCAACATGGAAGAGACCTCGAGACAAAAGGATGGAAAGACCAGTCTGCCAAGGGGATTACAGTTGAATGATTGCACAGGGTCCCTAGATCTTACAACGGGTGCCGGTCATTCATGATTCACTCGTCCTTGCTTTGAATGAGCTCGGACATTGGTGCAACATTGCCTACACTTTGCCCTTTTATCACCATATTGGACTGGACCAGGCTTTCGATGCCAACATAGCATGGGTGTTACTGAGCAATACATCACCTGAAACGTGGACAGAAAAAGTAGAAATGAGACAATGTGTTTCATGCTCTGGACTTACCAATGATTAACCTGGATTAACCGGCTGATCATCTAAACTCTGAAGTCGATGATGCAGATTGGGCAGGTTTGGGTCACAGGACTCGAAATGTTAACTCTGCTTTCTCTCCACAGATGCTGCCAGATCTGCTGAGTTTGTCCAGCAATTTCTCTGATTTTGTTTCAGATTGAGCAGGTTGTATTTAGAAGAGGACCCCGGATAAAAGCGTCAGTGAAATCTCTGATCAATGCAGGTTCAAAAAGGAGAGCTTTACTCTTTAATGCTTCCTCAGATCTTCTGCTCACTACAGGATGTAAAGGCCATTGAACCTGAACAATCCCTGAGGAGAACCTACCCACTGTGCATTATTCAGGGACTCGAAACAGATTTGTTTTACACACCTTAACCACACAACAGCCCACCAGTCGAAATCTGTTGAAGAATGTTGACGATCTGTCTGTTCAGGAATACCTTCTGGGGACTTGTGTGTTACTCATGAAACTGAGATTCTGTACAAAAAAGCATAACTCTCTCTTCCTTCCCATCCCAGTTGAAGGTAATATGGCAATAGATGGCAGAAGAAAGCCCCACTCAAAACAAACTTTTTGGAAAAGTTGAATGGAGCTCTGTTAGGTTTGATAACTGTCTGTGCTGACTACTCAAGTGGGTGGACAGGATGGGGTATTGGGTGATTGGAGAGACCAGACCCTACATTACTGGGCTCTGAACTGAGGTCTAAAGTGGGTTTGAACTTTCTAACTTTGACTCCATCGGTGAGAGAAGGGTGGGAAATCAGAGGAAAATTAAAGCCTCGAAATTACTGATGAAAGCGTTAGCAGCAGAGGCCTGTCCTTGTTAGGTTCATAAAACAAAAACTGGTTATTGGCTGGTTAAAGTAAACCACTGGAGAATGTTACACAAACATATTTATTAAATGTATATCTGTCTGCGATTGGCAACAGGAATTCTCCTGCCTTCTTTCTCAAAAATGTCTCTGTGATTTTCATTGTCATTTTTATGCTGCTTAAAAGTCTGACGAAATGAACTATTAATCTCATCAAAGGAATTGCTGTAGCTCACTGGTTCTCCTCTTGTACAGCTTGAGGTTGAGGTCCATTGTCCTCCAGCCTGTTTCCCTCTCTGCTACACCTTTATGAATCTGGACTGAGATTCTTAGAGGGTGTGAGAAGTTAAAAGGAAAGAAGCCTTCAAATGGGATGGGACTGGATTTAATGCTCTAAAAGGCTTGTCTGAAATTCCCCTCTCCTATTGTAAGGGGACGTGGTCACTCCATTGTTGTTAGTATTATTTTGAAAAGGTTTTTAACACCCCTGGGCTAGAATGGCAGACTGGGGAATGGCGGGCAAGCACTCAGGGGCGTATCCTCCGCCCCAGTTCAAGGGACAAGGTGGATGTTCTTTATTCTTTGTAAGGTCAGTCAACTGGAGCCCAGGCTGGTTGGCCTGACCCCAGGGCTGGAGCTTGACCTGCAACAAGGGGGTCATAGGTCAGTTGTTGTCAAACCAGACTGACCTGCAATGCTTACAGGGAAAGGCTGCCCTGTACCAACTTGACCTTTTTCCCCTCTGACCTTGACCCTACCAGTGAGTCCACAGACTGTTACAAAAAGTAGGGTATGCATGTGTGGGTGTGTGTGTGTGGTCTCCAGACAGCCAGCAACTTGTTCTCCAAACAGTGGCAAAGTTTCCTCCACAGGGTTAATAGGGTGATAAGGGAACTAGTGTTTTGAATGTACATATTTATTTATGTGTAATTTAATGGGTGATGTATATAAGGTGCAACCTTAAAACCTTTTTTTAAAAAAAATGTTGTTTACCTCTTGTAAATAGGGTTTAGTCTTCCCATTTTCTTATTTTTTTGGAGAAGTATTTTCCAGTTTAATGGGTAAACTAGGATATAATTCCTTATTCATTCCTGCACAATTACAATAATAATGAGAAACGTAAAACAGGGTATTTAAGCGTGGAGGTGCAGAGTGCCTGGCAGTGAGTTGAAAGCTGTGTTCATCCTCAACACTCAATCAACTCCCTGGAAAAAGCAATAATTCTTCTGGGTGTGAGTTGTATGGTACTTTCTTTCTGTAAATAAAGCAAGAGATTGTTTTAAAAATGTCTTCTGTCTGTGAATGGATGTTTAGATTCAGCCCCTGCCAAGATGTGGATTCAGTTGTGTCTTGTAACATAATGTCAATTGAGGAAAAAAATAAAAAATTTGAATTGAAGGCACTGTTTGTACACCCTGTTGTGTTCTTTCATGGTAAAGTGATGTTCTGAATTGGTTTGATTTGGGGATTGAGCAGTCCAGCCACACAGATTGTGGTCAGTGTTGAATTTGCTGTTCAATGTTTAAGTGGATCGTGAGGTGACATGGAAAGTCACCCGCTCTCCAGAATCAAATCCCAATGTTCTTTTAACCGCTAGGCAGCCTGGCCAGTTATCTGCCTGATGCTCAGTTTGGTCTCTGCCAGAGCTCCTCAGCTCCTGACCTCGTTGGATCCTTTTTTCAAACATGGACAAAAGACCTGAATTCTGGTGGTGAAGTGAGAGTGATAGCCCTTGACATCAAGGCCTCGTTCAATCGAGTGTGGCATCAAGGAACCCTAGCAAAACTGGATTCAATGGGCGCTGGGGGCAAACTCTCAGCTGGTTACAGTCATACCTGGCACATAGGAAGGAGCTCCAGTGTATCTCTGCAGGGGTTCCTCAGGGTAGTGTCTTAGGCCCAACTACCTTCAGATACTAAAAACTGAAAGAACTGCGGATGCTGTAAATCAGGGACATAAACAAAGTCGCCGGAAAAGCTCAGCAGGTCTGTTTTTTCCCTCACAGATGCTGCCAGACCTGAGCTTTTCCAGCAACTTTGTTTTTGTTCCTTCAGATACTTCCCTCCATCGTAAGGTTCATCGATGATTGATTGTACAATGTTCAGCACCATTTGCGACTCCTCAGGTACTGAAACAGTCCATGTTCAAACGCAGCAAGACCTGGAAAATATCCAGGTTTGGTCTAAAAAGTGGCAAGTGACACTCATGCCACACAAGTGCCAGGCAATTACCATCTTCAACGACAGAGAGTCTAACCATCACCCTTTGACATTCACTGGCACTGTCATCACTGAATCTCCCCCCAGTCAACATCCTGGGGTCTTGCCATTGAGTAGAAACTATAGTCAACTGGCCACATAAACACAGTGGCTACAAAAGCAGATCAGAGGCTAGGAATACTGCAGCAAATAACTTGCCTCCAGACTCCTCAAAGCCTGCCCACTATCAACAAGGTACAAATTAGGAGTGTTGAAATTCTTCCCACTTGCTTGAATGGGTGAGGCCACAACAATACTTAAGAATCTTGACATGATCTGGGATAAAGTAGCTCGTTTGATTAGCATCCTATCCAATACTTTCAATATTCGCTCCCTTCATCACTGGCACAAAGTGACAGCAGTGTGTGCCATCTATGAAAGGCACTACACCAACTCATGAAGGCTCCTTGGATACCACCCTCCAAACCCATGACCACTTCCATCTAGAAGGGCAAGGGCAGCAGATATATGGGAACACCACCACCTTCAAGTTCCCTCCAAGCCATGCACCATCCTGACTTGAAACTATATCAATAGTCCTTCATTGTTGCTGGGTCAAAATCCTGGAATTCCTTCCCTAACGGCATTGTGGGTCAACCTAAAGCACGGGGACAGCAATTCAAGAAGGCAGCTCATCGCCACCTCCTACAGGGCACTTAGGAGAATGCTGGCCCATTCTCTCAAAGAATTAAACAGATCTTTCTAGTCCTCAGTGATAGTTGGTGATCAGGGATACTGTTGACCCAGTCAGCAAGAGCCACAAATGGAATGCTGTGCAAACCACCCAATTATTCCTAAGGTGCTTCCATGTGAACAATGCTCAGACTCTCTATCTGCAAGTCCATTTGAAGTCTTTCTCAGTTCTCTGTAAAGAATTTTGTGATAGTTCTATGTTCATTGTTTCAAACCTGCTTAGAACCCTTCCTATTCTCTGGTAGAAGATTTAAATGATGACATTCAAACAAAAGGAAAGAACTGTGGATGCCGGAAATCTGAAATATATGAGGACTGGTCACAGAAAGACTTGGTTTGTGTACCCTTCATTATAGGAGATGGAAGGAGAGCAATCCCAACCTCACTATTAAATCCGCCGACAAGGGTGGGGGGGGAGGGGTTCAGTGGTAGTATGGTGAACTGACCTCGACATCACTGAGGCCACATGCCACCTCTGATATTTCCTCCTCATCTCCCAGACCATCAATGACCTCATCATCTTGGGAGATCTCCCACCCACAGGCTCCAACCTGATAGTTCCCCAGCTCCGCACCACCCATTTCTATCTCCTACCCGAGATCCATAAACCCGACTGCCCCGGTTGACCCATTGTCTCTACCTGCACCTGCCCCACCGAGCTCATCTCTTCTTATGTTGACTCTGTTCTTTCCCCTTTGGTCCAGGAACTCACCATCTACGTTTGGGACACAACCCACCCCCTCTATCTTTTCCAAAACTTCCAATTACCCGGCTCCCAACACCTCATCTTCACACCATGGACATACAATCCTTGTACATCTGTATCCCCCATAAGAATGGCCTAGAAATCCTCTGTTTATTCCTCTCCCGAAGGCACAACCAGTCCCCCTCCACTGACATTCTCATTTGCTTGGCTAAACTGGTCCTCACCCTCAACAATTTCTCCTTTGATTCCTCCCACTTCCTACATCCAAAGGGTGGCCATGGACACCTGCCTGGGCCTTCGCTAAGCCTGCCTTTTTGTAGGATTTGTGGAACTGTCCCTCTTCAACAACTATATCGGCACCATCCCTCACCTCTTTCTCTGCTATATTGATATAGCACTGCATCAGTGCTGCCTTGTGCTCCCCCGAGGAGCTCGAGCAGTTCATCAACTTTGCCAACACCTTCCACCCTACCCTCAAATTTACCTGGACCATTTCTGACGCCTTGCTCCCCTTCCTGGACCTCTCTGTCTCCATCTTTGGAAATTGACTCACCACTGACATCCATTTCAATCTCACTGACTCCCGCAACTACCTTGACTACACCTCCTCTCACCCACCTTCCTGGAAAAATTCTATCCCATACTCTCAATTCCTCCGCCTCTTCCGCATCTGCTCCCAGGATGAGGCGTTCTACTCCAGGACTTCCCAGATATCTTCCTACTTTAGAGACTGTAGTTTCCCCTCTTCTGTTATTAAGGATGCCCTCAACAACATCTCCCCCATTTCCTGCACTTCTGCCCTCAAAACCCTCCCTGACAACAATAAGGATAGAGTCCCCCTAGTCCTCATGTACCAGCGCACCAACCTCCAAATTCAATGCATCATCCTCCGACATTTCTGCCACTTACAATCAGACCCCACCACCAGAATGACTTTATCATCACTGTCTACTTTCCGCAGGGACTGTTCACTCCATGACTCCCTCGTCAGCTCCACACCCTGTACCAACCCCTCCACCACACCCGGTACCTTTCCCTGCAACCGCAGGAGGCGCAACACCTGTCCCTACACTTCCCCTCTCACTTCCGCTCAAGATCCCAAACAATCTTTCCAGATCCAGCAGAGATTTACCTGCACCTCATCCAACCTGATCTATTGTATCCATTGCTCCCGATGTGGTCTCCTCTATATCCGGGGAGAGCAAATGCAGACATGGGGACCAGTTTGTGGAACATCTGCGCTCTGAGTGTTCCAACTAACGTGACCTTCTGGTTGCCGTCCATTTTAATTCCCCCTCCCACTCCCCTAGTGACATGTCCATCCTTGGCCTCCTCCACTGTCAAATGTAAACTGGAGGAACAGCACCTGATATTTCGCCTTGAGAGCTTACAGCTCAAGGGCCTGAATGTTTACTTCACCAGCTTCAAAATCCCTCCACCCCCAGTCTTATCCCACGTCCCGCCTAAACTGTCCATCTTCCTATTCACCTATCTGGTCCATCTTTCCCACTGACCAATCACTATAACTCTTTTCCTGTATCCACCTATCACCATCTCTCTTACCCTTCCCCCACCACACCCACCCACCCATTTATTTCTGGGCTCACCTTCCCCTCCCCAGTCCTGATGAAGGGTTTCGGACTGAAACGACTTTCCTGCTCCTCTGATGCCATCTGACCTGCTGTGTTTATCCAGCTCAACATTTATTGATTATTGTCCGAAGTTGGAACTCTGCCTTGGAATGTGGCAGAGGCAGATCATTGAACATCTTTAAGGCAGCGGTAGATAAATTCTTGCGCGTAGGGAAATGAAAAGCTTATGAAGGTGAATTCAAATGTGGAATTCAACAGGCTAACAGATCAGCCATGATCTTATGGAATGGTGCCAAATAGCCTACTCCTAATTTGAATGTTTGTATTCTAACAGAATAAAATCAGATAGCCTCTGAAACGCAAGGATTGCAAAATGTTGGAAACTAATGCCAGCTTCTTGCAAACATCGCACTACCTACTCATTTAATCACCTGGAAGGTGTAGCCTATTGTCAAGTGCATAGTTAAAGCTGACAGCATGGAGCTGAACTTCAAATGTGGGCAGGAGAGGTGTATTCCAATTGGAAGAGGTGGGGGAAAGAGATGTCTACACGAAGAGTGATAATGGTTTAACAGCAGGGAGAGACTCCCTGATGCCTTTGTGGAGGAGATGGACAGGGGAGAGAATAATTCCTGGCAGTGAGGCCCGATAGCTGTGGCATTTTATACCAGCATTTTTCAGCCCGCAGGATTTCAGATACAATGCTGCAGGATGTCCAATAACTTCACAGAAGTGCTCCAAGTCCAAGCATGCACCTCATTCAAATGGTGTGTTCCACTGACTGGAGCACTCCACACCTCCATCACTCACCTACCGAGAACCTCTACCAATCGGAATTCGCACCTCACATTCCTCTTACCCTCACATGCTGCTGCAAACTTCACACCCACTCCTTACGCACTCTACCAGCTATTCCACCATGACAACCATATCAGCAAAGACACAGCACCACGCTCACTGAAATGCTTCCTTCTCTCTTGGTGCACAGGTAGTAGGCCCTACACTGACAGCAGATGGGTATGCCAACATATTGCCAGACTGTCATTGGCAACAACCATGAAGCCATCAATGATGATGGGATCCTCATACCTTATTCTCCTTCTTAAGTTGGTTAGGGTTGCATTCACTAGTGTTTAGAAGAATGAAGAA